GTATTTTTTGTATTTATATGTATATAATCTTTTGTGTATATAATATATTTTTATATGACATACATTTCTTTCTTAACGCTCAATTACCTATTAACGTCAAATTAATATCTCATTATTTGAAATTAATAAACCAAGAAGATTATGTAAGCTATATTAATTATCAATTTAATCATCACAATAGCAGAAAACATAATGGTGTAACAACATCATGCAATTATTTATGCTAAATTAAGAATAAACGATATTATTGTATAATACAGTAGTGCGCGGGATAATAAAACATAATTTTATTCGAGACAAAGATTATTACAAATCGAATATCGCGATACTCCGCGATGAAGAGGATGGCCCGGTGCCCTGAAGCGTCTTTCAGTCATTGCCCCAGCCCCCAATGGATCCGTCATGGCATGGCACTCGCGCAGCAATTACGCTTCGCTCCCTCCCCCCTCTCCCACCCCCCGTCGCTTCCATTTTCTCGACGTTAATTCGAGGACCGATCGGACGCAGACATCGGATATATTATAATCTACAGCGAATCTTTCGATGGGGAGCCCTCCTACTCCTGCCCCTTCCTCATCGTGCATCTCCGAACGATACGCGGCGGTATATTACCAAGCAGGGGATCGTGTGGGGAAAAAGAGGTCAGGGGAAGAAAGAGAAGGGGCAGACGAGACGAGTGTGGGAAGGAGGAGATGGCGATGGCAGTAAAATGAGCCCACGGTAGAGAGGGAAACGCGATGGACATACGAAGAGAAGCAAGACCGGTCCGGGGTGGGAAGGGAGAAAATACCATGGGAGAGAGATCCGAGAGTAGTAGGAAGGGAACCAATCGTCGCGACGACTTAAGCGCCGTGCGCGCGCGCGATATTCTATACGTAATATAGCGTATGCGTGGAACGAAGCGTTCATGTATGTATAGATCGACGTCAAGTCGGGATAGGAACACACGGACGCGAGTTCACTATAGCGACATGCTATATATACGTACGTGTACGCACACAAGCGTTGACGCGCACACAGCATTCGCGCGACCAATTCACATCGACCATGGCTATATCGAGAACCCGAGACGAATCGAGGGATAGCATGGGACGACCTGTGATGTGAATGAGAGCGAAAGAGAGAGAGAGAGAGAGAGAGAGAGAGTCTCCCTTCCCTCACCCCGTAGCGGGAATAGGATGGCACATGCGCGGCTACAGACAACGTTACGCACGCCGACCGTACCCATAACCCAAGCCAAGCCAATTCCTCCGGTGGCAGCCCGAATCATTAACTTGTTTCCCTGGCAACCTCGTCGCGACCCACACCATTGGCTGTGCCGCTTCTCCCACCCGCGCGCCATCACGCTCTACGGTCGAACGGCAAACTACAGATGCCGAGATACGCTCTTTCCATTTCAGCAACATAGCATAGACGTGGACTATAGGGTGATCTCCCCTTACCCCTTCCTTCACGCCAATCTCCTCCGGTTCGACCCTCGTCGAGTGGCGTACGTACGTACGTGTGTGTGAGCGCGCGCGCGCATGAAGACGTCCGTGCGCGCGTCCACCGTTCGACGCCAGGGACTTGGTTACTGGGATTGGTACAGCCAGGAACTCTTCCTACCCTACGCGCGATACGTCCTACCGTCGCACCTCGCGTCGAAATCCGAGACCGGTATTGGGGAATGAATGATAAATCCGCTGTACTTTGCGTTAGCATGACTCCACTCTTTCTTTTCGATTCCAGAAAATGCTGTCGAAATATAATCACTGTCGCATATCTGAATCTGCATTGTAATCGAAGAATTTTTAATAGATAATTCTCTTAATTAATTAAACGTACAGAATTCGATTGCGATTTGATAGTGATTGTTAAAAATAAAACGTTCGTAAACGTATGGCACACGATAAATTTATTATTTCATCGTATACAGAGATTTACATGTGGGAGATGGAGTTTTAAGGGTCGAAAATCCCGATCACCGAAATAACGAGACACTTCGTGTCCTTGATCCATGTGAGGATGGACCCCCATGCCTTGGGCGGAGCGGGATGCATTATGCATGGCGGCATTGGAGGTCTCGGGCATCAAAATTGGAGCTTTCCTCGATACTGCGTCGCATATCGACATCAAGGACGCGCGGGATGTCCGTTTTTTATTTTTGAAGTTTTGCTTATGTACAATGCTCGTTGCGTTAAAAAAAAAAACAGCAACAGATAACTGGAATGTACTGATTGGGTGGAAAATTCCCGTAAGGCGCGACGAGCCAATTGCGTGCGGCTCGCGAGTCTCGAGTTTCGAGCCGGGAAGCATAAACTCGAGTCTCGGCTTAGAGACAGTTGCGCCAGGACCGTATAGCGCCCGCATGGCGCCACCGATTTAAACTTCACACTACTCTTCTTGTTACGTCACATTATATTTTATTATAAATAAATGTAAACGTATACACATATTATTTTGATGTAAGTGGATTTACAATTACTACCATAATGATTATATATTTCATTAACTTGGAAGAAAATTACACAAAAAAATACGTTATACGATTATACATATATCGAATATCGAAATAAATATTGCAAACTGCAAGAAAACTGTAACACGAAATCACATGCATGTATGTATCCATTATTAATACAATAAATCAATGATAAATTTGTGAATTTATTTTGTAGTTCGAATAAAATTAAGAGAAAAAGGGAAGGGAACAAAATACATGTTAAGATAGAAAACCTATTTTATTTTATTCGCAGCACACACACGCGCTCGCGCGCACACACATCTCTCTCTCTCTCTCTCTCTCTCTCTCTCTCTCTCTCTCTCTCTCTCTCTCTCTATCTATCTATCTATCTATCTATCTATCTATCTATCTATCTATCTATCTATCTATCTATCTATCTATCTTGCACACAATATATTTCGTTCTTAGAAAGAGAGGAGAAAAAGATCATCTATTTTAAAAGATATAACTCATAGAACTAGTATAGGTATAATGATTGACAACGAACTAATGATCTGTTAAATTTGAAAATTTTCGAGACATGCTTTTTCCGTTTTAGATAAACACATAATAAGAAATTTCTTAAAAAAAAATCTGGACATTTTGCATGTTTCTTTCATTCAGGTATAAACATATAGTAAGAAATTTCTTAAAAATAGAAAACTTAAAAGAAACTTAATGATTTGGAAAACTAAGTCTTTATGCTTAAAATTCTGTATAGATGTCACATAATTAAAAAAATTTATAAGTACATCAATAGTAAAATATATAAAATGCAGAAATACGCAAATGTTTAACTATTAATTTTATGCTATTATAATCACGTACTATATAAGTTAAATATTTTAATTATAATTATTTTTGTTGAAACATAAGTATATAACAATATTTGGATCAGTAATATTATATATGATATCTCAAATAAGTACCTAATGTTACATGCAACAAATGTTTCTACAGGTGGAACAAAAAATTCATCTAGAAATCCTGTTTATATAGTCATTCTTACGTAAAGTTTCTACTTGATTAAAGCTGTTAATAATTGATTATAAACTGTTTACGATATAATGAATAATAACGATGTATTATTGATGGAAATTTTTTATTGCATTCTCATTTTTCACTACAATAAGAAATAAAAACTCAAGAGATTCGTTTAATATAGGCTAGTCTTTTTGTATCAATATATCTTTAAAATTCTCAAGTTCTATATGAAATATAAAATTCATATAAAATTCATATAAAATACATATAAAATTCATATAAATACACATAAAATGAATATATTTAATGTAAATATAATATAAATTACTAGATACAAAAGTTATAAAATTTGAACGAAACCATATAAATCATAAACAAAATATTCGATTGCAATTTTCAACGTGTTTTTAATTAAATTATAGAATAATCAATTAAAAAGTAATATAATCAAACAATGTATTCAAACAAATTACTCATTATTATTAATAATGTACTAAACTTGTATTAGCATCGTAATTAAAATTTTAAATTAAGTATAAAGAAAGAAAAAACATTAATATTGGATTGTCCGGAAAATTCATACCGACTAACCTATATAATTTAATAAATGTATACTAAAATTTAAATCTTCTGCGTTTCAATTTTCTTTCAACATCGGCACGAACTTTCCGGACAACCCAATAATAAGTAATTCTTGATAAGAAGAAAAAAGAAAAAAAATTTAGGAGAATATGTGTAAAATAGTATACCAGGGCACTCGGAAAACTTTGTACGTTTCTGCCAATGCTATGCTGTGAAATATGGCAGGGACTCTAGATCTGTATACGTATTCAGGAACAAATGGTTCGTGAATTTGTGTGCGTGCATACGATAGAACGGCTTGGTGCGATAGGTAGCAGTAAGAAAGGAGAGAGAGAGAGAGAGAGAGAGAGAGAAAGAGAGAAAGAGAGAGAGAGAGAGAATGTGGTACCGTTAGTGAGCATGCGCCTATAGCCACCATATCCAATGGCTCCGCCTTTCCCAACACGAACGATGCCTTTGGGATTTGTCCCCGTCGAACCAATCAGCAGGCATGTTGGACGACGCGCGGCGCGCAGCGGGAAGGTTGCCAATGGTAGGGATGGCCGTATTAGGGACGCGCGGGTATAAGACGGAAGTAGTTGTATTATACTGTGTGAAACAGGGAGGCAGCTAGCAGCAGCGACGGCAGTAGCAGTAACATCACCGATAGTGGGCAACGGTGGCCGGATAACTATTATCACAAGCTCTCGTAGTCGGTCAACGACGTATTTTGTAGAGTATCGTCGTGCGGTGAGAAACGGTGATTCGTAAAAAGTGAAAACACTGTGCGAGCGAACGAACACGCCGTTGGACATCGTGCGCGACGGACGAGCGAGATGGTGGTGTGAGTTGGTGTGCACATACACACGCACACACACACACGCATACACATATACACGTGTACGTTCACATACGCGCGCACTAGCCGCGGAGTGTGTATATAGGTGTGACTGCGCAGTCGCCATGTGAGTACCTGATAAAAAGGTAGAGCGAGACATCAATGTCGGTGGCTCTGTCGACTCGTGGTGGCGTCATCGTCGTCGTCGTCGAGGGTATCCACCCCTTTGCTATATCTCCGTCGATGCTGTACGTTCCACGTGAAAAGATACAACTCTTAAATCAACTACTTTGCGGAATGTACTCGATTACCGACGCCGACGACGATCTTCGCCGAACCGCGACGACGGTTGACACGCTACAACTGTTCGATAACACTGTATTTTGTCTCTTTCTGTTTTCCTTTCTCTCTCTTTCTCTCGCACATCCCATCGCTTCTTCGAACGGTGTTCTTTATTTTGTAATTCAATATGTCTGCGTCCGTGCGAGACGCCGCCACTTTGGATTCGCATGGAGGGACGGATCCGCAGCGACCGGATACCGTGCATGCGTGTGACGCCAGCATACATGTTTTATTGCACTTTCAGGCAAACGTGTCGCAGAAAGAAAAAAATGTCTCTCGCGTGCTCCAGTGTGTTTCTTATTACTGTAATTGTTCGTTTTTATATTATATACAATACAGATTGCCATTATGGCGAGTCCATGTGCAACCGTCCCCCCTGGCACAGTTGTTTTTTTCTATCTCTTTCTATTTCCCTCCCTTCAAATTTTTCCTCTCCTCTCCCATCCCATCCCATCCCATCCCATCCCATCCCATCCCCTCTCCGTCCGACCAATCCGCCTTTCAATCGTATTTCCCGCTCTCCTTCGGATCTCTCCGTACTTTTCCCCCTTCCTTTTTTTCTCCCTCTTGCTATTATCGTGTCACTAATTATGGTGGGTATATGGATTGGGGCGACATTTTGTTCGTTCACGCGCGCGCGCGCGCGCACATGCCAAAATGGAATCGTCGGCGTTTTGCGCCGGATCGATATTCCCGGGATAGTTTTTATTCGAATGACGGGATATGCAGAGTTCTACGTTACCGCACGAGTTTGGCGTCGGACTGTTCCCCTCTCCTTCCCTTTCCTCTCCTACTATTCATGGTGTCTTTCGAATCATGGCACGTTTCTATTTTCTCTCTCTTTCTCTTGCTGAGCCTCAACGTTATAAAAGGTGTAAGATCATACCTTTTACATGAAGGTCGTGTATCGACGTTTCATGTACCAATTTCACTCTGAGATATTATTCCGTTTTCGTAGGGAATCTCAGATTTGTTAAATCTAAGACATCCTTTATAAAGGGAATGAAAAATAAATATTTCTTTGTCATAAAGAATAATATTGAGTTGTCCGGAAAATTCGTACCGATTTTGAAGGAAAATTGAAACGCAGATTTAAATTTTAGTATACATTTATTAAATTTAAATCTTTTGCGGCACGAACTTTCTGGACAACCCAATATTTAATTGAGCTGTTCTATGAAAATAGAATTATTTTTCATTAATACATTAATGATATACAAACAATTGATTTCTAATTGTAATTTATTATAGAAAAGAGATAGAAATTATAAAAAGTAAATTTGCAACATTTGGTTGTGTTGATATATTAGATCAGTACATTCTTACACTCTTGCATTTGAAATAGATATGTATGTATTTTTAACAAAATTAAAATTAAAAAAACATTTAAAAAACAAACTACGTAATATTGCAATATTATAATAAGATTAATAATAAGATTGGAATGAGATTAAATGTAAATGTAAATGTCTTATATAAGCAGTAGGACTGCAATAAAAAGTATATAAAATAATACTGTAGTATCGAAATAAAATGATAAAATTAAAATGAAATTTGATACAAAGTTACACAATCATAATATTACAATTACAATAATACTCCAATAATAATGGAATATACAAGGTGTAAATTAATAAGTGTTTAATATTGTAGAGAGACATATTTCCATCAATCAAACATTAAAAAAAAATTTATATGAATATAGAACCGTTTAGTTTTTGAATTGGAAGAATTTTATTATATAAATTCAATATCAAACATTTAATGAAATAAATAATGAATATTTAAACATTTTTTTAACATTAAGCTGGAAACGCATAATTTAGAATTATTAAAGATTTTCTAATCTTTTTTCCTTTATAGTTAGCAATAATATATGCATATAAGGTTGTAATGAGTTTTAATGTATATATAAAATTATAAATAATGTGAGGTTGAAAGCTAATGTTATGTGAAGGAGATCAGTTTGAATAATTTTTATAATAAAATGTTTATTACATATTTCATTAATTGTTTGATATTGTTAAATTAAAGTTATAATATTCTTAAAATTCTTTCTGCTAAAACCAAACATTTCTATAACAACCCATGTTTATATTTACCCTATATATATAATATATAT